TGGATGTGGAAGGGGGGGGGGGGGGGGGGGGGTGCTCATGTTTAGCATGATTTAGCTGTCAAGACCATCGACCACGCTTCGTTCCTCAAGAGGACGGAGCACTGTTCCCACAGGACCCGTTTGCCGATGGCTAGTCGTTCCTGCCTGCAACCTTGCCAAACGTGGATCAAAAACGTTTCTCAACTCTTATCCTATCTATCCTGTCGACATCACTTCCCGCCTTCTTGTCCCACTTCCTATGCTGATCACCTTCTCGCACACTCCTAGAGAGGCGAGGCGAGCGCGCGCGCGCTGTCAAACCCACCACCAACCAACCTGCAAACTTCGAGCCTCCCCTCTCCCGCCGCCCAGTCCAGAGGGCTCGACCCGTTCTTGTCCAAGGCGGTCTTGGGCTCCCACCCCTCTTCCTCGACCAGCCTCTTGAGCGCCCCCAGGTCCCCGGCACGGGCCGCGGCGAAACCGGGGGGCAGCGCGGCCGCCGCCCGCCCCTTCGCCGCGGCTCCGCCGCCTACGGCCGGTGCGCCACCGTCTTCCTCCGTCGCCTGCCCGACTCCGTCATGGTCGTTTCTTCTTGTCGCCAGATCGGTCCCCGGTGCCTCCATCGGGGGCAGTGAGGCGCTTCCCCTCTGCAGGAGCTGCACGAAGTGGTCGCGGTCTTTGACCTCTAGGGGGTGGGCTCCGACCTGTGCGAGTTCGGCGGCGGCAATGGCGGCGGCCGCACACGCGCGATGATTTGAACGGAGCGACGCCATGGGGGCAAGAGAGAAAGAGAGAGAGAGAGAGAGAGAGAGAGAGAGAGAGAGAAGTAGTCTTCGCAGAGGATATTGGTTTTTAGTAGGGGGCACGGGGCGGGGTTTGGGATACGAAACGTCCCTCTCTAATTCATAGATAAAATACGAAACCCCCCTCTCTAATTCATAGATAAAAAAAAAAAATCACCAAGGCGGCCCAGAGTCCAGAGAGGCAGGGGTTGACGACAGCTCCCGAAATCGCTGCACTTGGCGTTGATCGATCGGGACCAGGCTGCTCATTTCTCGCCTTTTCCCGTAGAGCATCTTCGCCACCGGACACGCAGCAGCCCCTTCAGAGTCATCGAGGGAGGGAATACAACATCCCCACCCCAACAATAGCACAGAAGACGCACTTTCACTCACTAACTACTCGAACGCCTCAGGAGGGGAAGAAGAAAGACAACAGGACGCAGAAAAAAAAAAAAACGAACACAAGCGTACGTATGCATAAACAAATGGATACTCTTTTGGTGATGAGGGAAGAAGAAAGACTACAGGACGCACAAAAAAAAACACAAACACAAGCGGTATGCATACATAATCTTTTGATGATGAGGGAAGAAGGAAGACTACAGGACACGAACAAAAAAAATCACACAAACACGAGGTGGTATGCGTACATGCTCGTTTTTGATGATGGTCCGGAGTTCGTTCGCATCACCACTGGGCGGCTAGCTCACCAGGTGCATGCGCAGTCCCCTCTGCCCCCCGCAGGTGCGCCCGCAGAGGGGGCAAGGCGTAGGCCGAGCGTCGCAGGAGGCCGTCCCGCCTGCCGCGAGCGCATCGAAGGCCTTGAAGCCCGACAGGTGGGAGGGCACGGCGGGGGCGGGGGGCGGCGGGGAGCTTCCCCTGGAGCCGCCGCCGCCGCCGCCGCCGCCGTTGTGACGAACCCGGCTGTTAAGATCGGCGAGTTGGTGCGTCGGTTCGCAGCAGCATGCGGCGCAATTAAACAGGCGTTCGAAAGCGAAACGCGCGCCCCTGGTTTGATGGAATTTTTGAAAACACGTCAGAGGAGAGGGAGGGAAGTGCTAGGCAGGACTATTAATAGGAGCAGAAGGGGAAGGCCCCGCCGTGCTGACTTAGAAGACACAGTTACATTGTGTGCTGCTGTAAGCAGCATCTGCTGCTATGGCCTAGGCAGCAAGGTTTGAACCCCCCCCCCCCCCGCTTTCCCACCGCTAAAGGGGTCCCGCCACCTTGGGGCTTTGCGTGTGTGTGTGTGACAAACACCTCCGCGGGGAGACAGACCGCAACAGAAATAGCAACAATATACTCCCTCTTTCAGCCGATATTATCTTGCCGGGATTGTATGTCACAACACGACGATCTACGTGCTAACTTCGTTTTGCCAGTAGAAACACCAATCGTGGACATCATGCTCTCTCGGCTTGAAGGCACGCACATGCGTGTACAGGCCGGTGATTCCTGCATGTACCCAACAAACACATGTTGCAACTCCGTTGTTGGCCGTTACGATCAGCGGACTCACACGTCTGCGAAGGAAACCTTGAGCCATCGGCCCAGCAGCGGGCAGGGCTCCCCCGGAGTGGGGGCGAACACATCGCTCGCTGCGGCTGCCCCCGGCACCCCGACTCTCACGCGCTCCTCGATCTCTGGGGGGCGATTCCGTTCAGCTCTCGCCCTCGCCGCGGACGACACCTGGGGTTGAAACACACAGGGGTGCCGGCGGGTGCATGTGTGTGTTTGCGTACTCTGCGAAGATCAAGAACGACATTTGAAACGTGTTGCTTGACGCATGTTGCCTTGCATTTCCTTGTCTGTTGTTATGCGTGACGAGAACGTCGGTGTTGTGATGCATTGTTTCTGCCCCTTGTTGCCCGCGACGAGAATGTTCCGACAATGAGCAACACATGCGGGAATCATGCGGCCGCCGCAGGGAGGAACGCTCGGACGAACCGAAAAAAATCTGGGTCTGGGCCGAGTGCTAGAGTTAACCTAGCTCCCTCAATCTTCTCTTCCGTCAGTCGTGACTGTGTATCTCACCCGGTCTGGCCGCTCGGCTAGCGTACCGCCGTACGCTGCGGTACCCGACGTAGTCCTGGACGGGCAGGGCCGTGACGACACAGGATGCCTCACGAGCATTTGGCCATGAATCTACATACCGAATCATGTTCCATCATCATTAACCAACTACAAGTTTTAAACGTGCCCAAGGGGGTATCTAATGACGTGATTTAGTCTCGACTCCGCATATAACGACGACTTCTCGAACAAAACCTATGTGTACCATGCGCCGACCGCTATGCATACACGGATCGCTATGTTGTGCTGGGGTGCTACAGCAGTATGTAGCTGGCTCTTTCTGCTCAGTGTGTGACCTGCCAGCAGCAAGCGATATAGACTACTCGTACATGGTCGCTGTACACACAAGCCAACATCTTGCAGCCCAAACATCGAGCACTCGCTCCTCTGCGCTACCGCTGCTGCTGCCGCTGCTGCTGCCGCTGCTGCTGCTGTTCACGGGGTGCATACAATCCGGCTTCGTGCTGCACGCCTCACTCACACTCACACCTCGTGAAAGGAGATCAACACCCTGGCCGCGGCGGGATTGGGGCAGCAGACGCGCTCCACCTCTCCGTAGGCCTCAAACACCCGGCGCAGCGTCACCTCGTCCACGCCCACGGCCGGCCCCGTGTTGTACACCACCAGGTGCCGCGTTTGGATGCCGACCTTCTTGGTGAGGTGGTATACGAGCGTGGGCGGCGGCGGCGGCGGCGGCGGCGGCGGCGGCTGTGGTGTTGTCCCAATGGCGTCATTGTCACCAGAGGAAGAGACCTTGCTGTTCTCGCCTCCTGGCGGTGACACCGCCGCGGAAACGTCTTCAGATGCTGCTGCCAGCCCAACTGGGCCCATGACTGCTGCTGCTGCCACTGCTGCTGCTGTATGCATCACCTCCTGAGCTCGTGAGTCGCTCCCCTCCAGCAGCTGTAGCGGGTAATGGACTGCGGCTGTGGGAGAGGAGACAAACGCGGCCGAGGGTTTCCATGATAATACGAAAATGAATTCTTCGAGGGGATGTTGATGACTCCGACTTTTTAGCGAAACACGGCAGGCGCGGTTGCCACACCCCAGCCAGCAGCCACGATGTGTGGTATCGGCTTCTTGTTAGGGGCTGGTCCACCGGAGCAGTCCGAGCTGGAGAGCTATATCGGTGCGCTTCGAAGGCGTGGCCCCGATGCCGACAAGCAAACTACCATCGATTTGGAGGTGTGAGATACTCCTGTAGATGCATTTTGTGGTTGTTGGTTGCCTCTCTCTCTCTCTCTCTGTACAGCCGCAAACCATGCGGTACAGCATCGTGGCCACAGCACCACGGGGATCGTCATCCTTCACCTCGAACGTGTAGGGATTGGGCTCATGCAACAGACCAAGCACTGCGAAAGCTCGCCTGACCTGCTGCACCGTCCGCGGAGCGCTGGCAAGCGGGTTTGCTGGCGGGACTGTCATTTTGGATGACAGTCCCGCGAGCAGCGTGCTCTCTCCCTCTCTTGGTTTGCACAGCGCTTTGGTGCTGGCGACGTCGCGATGAGGGGCTTGCTCCTCCCAGTTGGTGTACTTTGTGTCCAGCCTTCGGAGTTAATCGTAAACCGTAGGCTCTGCTGGTGTCAGTCGACGGAAGTGTTGCAATATATGCGGGGCAACTGCTGGGCGGCAAATATTGTAACATGGCAACATCAACATGGCACCATCAGCATGGTTGGATGTTTGGTTCTTCATATTTCCGTTTGAGAATTGGGCAGCAGTGTAGCGAAGTATGTGTACATGAAGGTGTGTCGTAAATGTCTGAGGGATGGCAGCCCCCCCTCTCCAATACTGCAACAACGCCTGCCCAGTCACATAATGACCTGTTTTTAGGCTCCATCGAATGTTTGTCCTCGTCGGCGATGTTTATGTGGGAGCCAGGATACGGCAGTATTTCGCCCCCGCACATCACACGAATACCCTGAAACCGCAGATACGAGATATTTTTAACCAAAAGTGTTCTTGTACGCTGTGGCCTCAGGGAGGATGGACGCTGCACTTGATGGCGGCAGTGCTGCACCTTCGCGGCGAGGAGCTGTGCGCGCAGCCAGCAGAGGACGCTCACGGGAACGTCCTGCTTTGGAACGGCGAGGCACGAGCGCGGCGTGTGGTTTAGCGTGCGACCTGTGTCCTGGCTGTTGTTCGCGAGAGGGCGGGGAAAGGGCTGAATCGGTCCGGAGTTTGTTTCGAGGGGCATCGCGCTTGTGCTCCATACTCCATACACACCAGTTGTAGACAATGTACTTCATCACCGCTTCAACACGTGTTTACAATTTTAATTTTGCTCCTTCGATTGGGTTACGGGATGTGCGGAGTAGCGCACGAGCACCGCTGCTGGCTACCAATCTTTTTTGTTTTGAGACACCTAATAGTGCATGTGTAGATCCAGGCCCATTTACGTACGCTTGTGATGGGTTGCTGTGCTGAGGATGTGCTTGAATTTGTTCGTACGCCTTCGCAAACCGGGTTTTGTCCCTCTGTGCACCGGCAAGCTCACAACAGTGAACGGCAAAGACGTTGTTGTTGGTCTTGTTTTCGCAAGCACCCATCTGTTCACATCTATGAATATGTTTCGCGGGGCGTTGGGGTCTCCTCCTTTTTGTTCTCCAGGTATTTGACGGCCTCGACATCGGACCTGGCGAGTCTGACACGGCCGCCGTCCTCCGAACCCTGTCTGGCACCTGCAACCACCAGGAGGTATGATGAATCTATGTAGCACATGCAACCACCAAGACGTGATGATATAGCACATGCAAACCATCAGGAGGTAATGATCGATCTTGTAGCACATGCATCCACCAAGACGTGATGATGGATCAATGTTGCACGTGTAACCACATGAGGTAGTGATCGATCTTGTAGCACCTGTAACCACCAAGACGTGATGAAATAGCACATGCCAACCATCAGGAGGTAGTGATCGATCTTGTAGCACACCATGAGGTAGTCATCGATATAGCACATGTAACCACCAAGAGGTATGATACAAATCGGCCGGTTGCGGCGCACGCCACATTTCTTTCTTGTCTACATGGCGCCGTAAGCTATACGTGACAAATATGCAGCGCTGATTTTCGCACGAAGAGATTTTCTTCGCGTAGTGGTGCCCTCTCCTTGACGGAAAGGAAGTGTCGCGAATATGACCTGTTCGCCCGCTGCAAGTTGTTTCGGGTAGAGAACAGACACAGCAACTTCCAGGTCGCCATTCGGTCGGGTTTACTCCTACCATCCAGACAACTGCCTGGCGGAACACGAACGTATGTTCTCCCGAAGAGAACCCTTTCGTTCAACAAGCTCAGCAAAAATGGCTGCGCCTCTGCTGTGTCGTTTCCGGAACACTTCCGACCCCTTTCTCAACCCCCCCCCCCCAACCCCCCGGGGGGTGGCAATGGGGGTTGGGGTTTTGTGGGGGGGGTAAGAAGGTGTAAAAAAAGGCCCCCCATTGGGGGTTGGGATTGGGGATGGGGTTTTGGGGGTTGGGGAAGAAGGTGGTAAAAAAGGCAAATTAATTTGGGGAATTGGGAAAAAGGGTAACGGCTTTTTTTTTTTAACCCTGGGGTTTTTTTTGGGGGGAAACAAAAAGGGGGGGGAGGAAAAAATTGTGGGGGGGGGGGAAAAAAATCACTCCGGGGAAAGGGGGGAGAATGGCACAAGGTGGGGTTAAAAGGGGAAGGTT